TAAGCTTACAAAATCCCTAATCTATACAAATTACAAGTAACTAGGAAAAATAAAGTATTACACCAAAAGTGTGTAATTTCTCAAACAACAACAAATAAAACTAGTTAAAATTACAAACATAAACAATAACAATTTTATACTATCAATTAAGTCCTGCCTCTAACTTTGTGAATTTTGATGTGGAGAAGTTGTTGAGAATGACAACACTCTATCCAGGCGATTTCAGTGATGAGACTTAATCTTCTTTATGCAAACAGTTTGCTAACTACATTGAGGAATGCATTTGGATCCTCGTTTTGTAGGATTCATAGGGCTTGTGGACCTTTCAAAAAAACTTGTAGCAGCCAAAAAGCACAAGACTTATGGTGTCGTTTATAAGCTTGTGAGGCTTGCTTTGATCTTGCCGGTAGCAATGTCATGCCTCAGACCGCATCTAAGTGTGTGTACAACCGCCGTATGACTAAGTGACGTCACCCGCAACTCAACATGATTTAATCATACAAAACGTCTATGAACATAATTCATCCATACTCAGTAGTAAACATAAATAACAACATCACATTTAAACCAATGAATAGCGGAAATATTCAACGGTAAAGTGTGGGCCGCAACCGGCCAAAACATGGGCTCACAGGCCCAAAATAGTTTATAGTAAATCAAATATCCATGAGAAAGTGTTTGGTAGTTTGAAAGGAAAGAAGGAAACAAGAACCACGTCTTCCTTGAGTTGACTTCACCCGTAGGACGGTGCACGTAGCAAGCCCTAGCTTTAACCTGAAAATAGTGGGGGCCGGAAGGGGTCAGTACAAGTACCGAGTGAGTAGCAAGCTAAATGTAGAATAACTAATGTTTCAAGTATAAGACCCAAACATAGGGTGATACATATACGTATAATCCCTTCCCCCAAGTTATGAAATACATATCAGTATATATACCATTGGAAATGCTCGACACGTAGATCATTGTTTATTTGGGAAAATATTAGTAGTCAATGTCCTTGACTCAAATTACATGTGAATGTATAGGACCCCTCCAGATACAAATCAATTTATATTCCGAGTTTTGAGGACATTGTCGTCGTCAAATCAATTTATATTCCGAGTTTTAAGCACAATGCCGTCGTCCTAGGGTCCTCCACCATTTCTATATATGAGTTTTAAGGACAGTGTCGTCGTCCTAGGGTCCTTCACCATTTACATACCGAGTTTTGAGGACAGTACCGTCGTCCTTGGGTTCTCCACCATTTATATATTGAGTTTTGAGGACAGTATCGTCGTCCTTGGTTTCTCCACCATCTTATATTCATTCCTATGATCTACCACTCATCATACAAAGATATGGTCTAAATCATAATCATTTATCAAGACTAATTAAGTCTTATAGCTTAAGGATAACAACCCATGCAAAACCATGCACGTAAATCAACATGTAGGCAAACAATACCAAACGGCTAAACCATATTCAACTGGCACCGGTTCTACACATATTCGGCGTCAGTTGCCCCTTGGACAACCGGTCAACTCTCCGTTCACCCGCCATTTCAATTCCAACTTGTGTCAAACTTAATCACTACGTGTATTAAGTTATAAACAACTATTTTATGCCTTTTTCATCCTTCTAAACATCACATATATTTTTATAAATATTTGCATACCATATTTCATGCATATCTCAATAGTTCATTTCATACAAGCCTAATCACATTGGCTAATCACATGTTTAAATCTCTTTTAAACATCATTATGAACACATATAGCATTTACTTAGTTAATCTCATACTTAATCCAAGAGTTACAAAACATTAAGTCATCCACTCACCTCAAATGAGCTTTAATAAGTTCTACCCTTCTTAATTGAACTCCAGTGAAACTCCGGCAAAACTCCGACGAACTCTAGGAACACTTTAGTCAAGCTCCTTAATTCTTCACACTTTTCCTATCTTTTCCTTCTTCAAACACCTCTTTTTGGACCTCAAAAGCATAAGCTCGAATTTAGCTATGGAAGAATGGTTTGAGAGCTCTCTTTTCCTCTTCCTTGATGGTGTGGGTCGAGCTAGGTGATAGGGGGTGAGAGAGAGTACACACCTTTGTTTCAAATGGGTAATAAGAGAGGGTGAGGGGTCCTCTTTGGTACTTTAGATGCCAAATGACTTTCCTCCACGCATCCTTTGTCAACTCCATCCCCGCTCACAGTAATTTGAGCACACAAAAACGTGGGGTGGCCCCCACTCATGTGGGAGGTCATCACTTTGTGTCCCCATTTGTACAATCGGTCTTGAAATTTGTATTTCTCAGACAGTTTTAATTATATTTTATTTTATTGAATCAAATAAAATATATCACGCATTCTAAACCACTATGGGTCTTTAGAATGAATATATATTCCCCAACTCTAATTTAGAAGTCTCCGAAATTTGTTTCAGATTGTTATCTGATAATTTGCCAAAATTGATAATTGGGTCTTGTTTGATCAACCGGTCAACCCTATGTCTTTGTTATGGCCCAACTAGAATATCCACCACCATATACATATTATCTAAACCAAGATAAATAATATATGTGGTCCCGAAAATATCGAGTGACCCCCGTTCCCGGTGTAGGACCCGCGTGCAATTTACTATTCACGCAAAAAGAAATGACAGAAATTTACAACTTGGTAAATTCATTAATCATTCAATAAGGTTCAATACAATATTTACATGAAAGTAATTATATTTGGGGACGGTGTTACAAGCAATGTAAGTGTGGAACGTGTCTTTTCAGCAATTGAGCATGTCAAGAGTGAATTGAGGAACAAAATGGGGGACCAATAGTTAAATGATCGTCTCGTGATATTCATTGAGAGAGATGTGTTTATGACTATTAGCAATGAAGAAATTTTAGATTATTTTCAAAAAAACATGACCAGCAGGAAAAATCAATTTATGTAGTAAATCAGTTTATGGAGTATGTTTTACTTTTTAATGTAGTAGTTTTTTAATTGATAAAGATGCAATTGTTGAATTATAGCATTAGATATGATTATTGTAATACTTTTAACTTTAGTTTAGTTTCGAACACCCAAAATGTAAAGGCTAGATCCGCCACTATCTCCGTCTCACTAACACTAAGATATCCCCTCCGTCCCATTAGAAGGTTCTCACTCTCCTTTTTTGGACGTCCCATATAAAGGTCTCATTTCCATTTTAGAAAATAATTAACAATCTTAAATGACAAATTAATGATTAAATATTAAAAATAATACTTGTAATATCACAGTTATCAGTATTAACTACATTATAATATATACTTATTGAAATCATTCCTCAAAATATACTCGAAATACTTTATTTAATTATTGCCTAAATAACTGTGCCGTTTTGGTATGAGAACCTTCCAACGGGACGGATGTAGTAATAGAGAGTGTCACGCAAATCAATAAAAGGTGTTTTATGTGATTGATATTGGATTCATAAAGTAAGAATAAGATAAGAATGATTTAGAAGCACATAAACTTTACCTAATTTGGTATGAGACGATCTTAGTGGGACGAATCGGAAAAATAAAATGGGATAATCTTAGCGAGATGAATGGAGTATCATATAAAACGTGGAGAATTGAGATTTGGAATACATATGTTAATTGGTTAAGTCTAATATATACTTTGTACTTTATCATACATTTATGAGTGTAGTGAACATATACATATATAGTATTACTTAGGAGTTATGCTAGAGTTACAAACACTTTTACAAAAAGTCTTACAAAAGAGGTATGTGTCATCATCACATTATTTAACACATCACATCACATTTACAACACTTTTACATCAATGGTAATTAGAATAGCTCCATCTCTTGTTTATAAGTTTTTTTGTAAGTGTGTTTGTACTTCTAGCATTTTTCATTACTTAGAGCCCGTTTGGTAATATCAAAATCGACTGAATCGGTTGATTCTGCTGAAATTTATGAAGTTCTCGCTGATGTGCCTGAATTGACTGATTCTGTTGATTTATTAAAAAAGTATGTTTAAAATATATTTTATTAATAAATTAAAGAAAAAATTATATGTAAAAATAAGTAAAATGAATCTCCACAGTAATTTCGGCCAACACAACCAAAAAGTAATTATAACCTTATTTTTTCTTGTGTTTACGCAATTCAGTGCGTGAAATAAAAAATTGTGTGTCTGATAAAAAAAATAATTGATATGTCTGATAAGCCAAAACGTTGGGCTGCCAAACGGGCTCTAATATGTTTTATATGCAAGGATGCATTTAGAGCTAAACGATTTTTGGTTTAAGCTTCAATTAAATTAGAGTCCTATTCTGTATAACCATCTAGTTTAGTTGAAACCGATACAAAATGTATTCTTCTTTTGTCATATCTATTAAGATGACAACTTCGGTACCTTTCTAAAAAATGGGATATCGTACATATCATTAATTTGATTGAACCACGTCACTTTATCATTTTTAATTTAAATTTAAGTAATTCAATTGCTACATTTTCATTGGTTCATGTGGACAAAGATATGGTACCTTATGGGTACCATAGAATCTACACTCTATTAATTAGATACTCCCTCCTTTTCTGAAACAAGTTCCACATTTGACTTCACACATATTAAGAAAATAAATTTGACTTTACTGTGGAGTGCACTGTTTGGCACTGTTTGAACACTGTTTGGCACTGTTTGAACATTGTTTAACACTGTTTGACACTATTTTGATGTAGATAATTTGTCAAATAAGGAAATGTTTGAAAGTGGAACTTAATTTTGAATCTGCCCGAAAAGGAAATGTGGAACTTGTTTGAGAAACGGATGAAGTATTTTAAGGTAAGCTTATTGAAATTTAAATCTTTTTCGGTCACATTTTGAAATATTTTAGTAAACGATTCAATTTTCATGACCCCACGCGGCTCGGTCAAACCCGTCTTCAATGGCTCGGTAAAGCCGCGTAATTAATTACGCAAACCAGAAAGTGAAGTCCAGGGTCAGCCATTTAGTTGGTTGGGCGAGCAGGGCTGCAGCCTTTGTGATCATCAAAGAGACACGTTGCAGGTTAGCTGTCCATATCAATCCATCAAACTCAAAGATTTCCCAGATTTATTCCGCAGCCCTACTCCGATCCGATTCTCCATATTGACCTACCATGTTCTTAACTGTCGCGCCTACTGTGTATCCAATCTCCAGATATCTTCCCCACCCCCTCCACCATCTTTTTGATTCAGTCCTACTCCGTATTATATATAGGGACTGCAATCCATACTCCACATTTCCATCCAAATCTCAAAACCTTTTAACGAGCATTCTTCTTGATTCAATAATTCAATATACAATGGCAATAGGCGAGTGCCAAAACTTCCACGTTCTTGCCGTCGACGACAGCATCGTCGACCGGAAGCTGATCGAGAGGATCCTGAAGGCCTGCTCCGGCGACAATGTGAATGTGACGGTGGTGGATTCCGGGGCCAAGGCTCTCCGGGTTTTGAACGAAGTCGGCGCGGATCTGATCATCTCCGATTACAGCATGCCCGGAATGACCGGCTACGATCTGTTGAGGGAAATCAAGGGCTGCACCGCTTTCAAGCACATCCCCGTCGTCATCGTCTCCTCCGAGGATATTCCTTCTCGGATCCAGAACTGCCTGTCGGAAGGCGCCGAGGACTTCTACCTGAAACCGGTCCGGTTGTCGGACGTCAAGCCGCATCTGCAGAACGTCTGCAAAGGGAGGGCGGGCAGGGGATTGACCTCTGCGATGTGTGGGGTAGTTTGATTCATCCGAATTAGTGAATTAATCCGAATTTCGCAGTGTAGTGTAGGGATTTTTCCCGGACAATTTTGGAATGACCATTTCCGATTTTACGGAAATTTAGAATTATAGAAATGGGGATATATTTAGTTGAGTTTTGAAATTTCTCCTTCCTGTGGTTTATCATGTACTCCGTATTTACTGAATTAAAAAAATATGTTAATATCTTAAAATGAAGTGGTGTTTGTGATCCTTTAACTTTTACGATAATGTTTTAATCCTTATTTTGCCACAATAAATAGAGAATGAAAGATGTCGTTATGATCGTATGGAAGGATTAAAAATGCTAACGGTAAAAGTTCAAAATCCAAAACCATAAATCTTTCCAATAATAGTAGAAGGATTAAGGTTGGAAAAACCACATTATTGTTGAATAAGTTTATAATATTTATCTTGCAATAATAATGTGTTGTTCACGGGCGCGGACCGTAGTAGAGACCCAGAGGGGCTACCGTCCCCTCAACAATTTTTTTTAGTGTATATATATACGAAAAATGATTTTTTGCTCTTCCAAAAAGTATTTTGAACCCCCCAAAAATATTTTCATCCCTCCAAAATGACTTTCCTGGGTCCGCCCCTGGTTGTTCATGGTTTGAGTTGCACCAAGGGTATACTAATGACATGTTCATGTTCATTATTACTACGTAGTACATTACTCCGTATTATGTATTTCATCTTTGAAAAGCAAGAACAAGGAACAAAGTTTACAGCTTCAAGGGGTGGGTAAGTGGGATGGGGGTGGGGTAACACCTTTTTAGCTTATAATTTCAAAAACTAATAATTTTAAATACCGGAGACATGGGCTTACTCTCTCTCGGTCAGATTGAATTATAGTCCAATTTAATTCTTCCAATGTATCATCTGATCGGGGTTGGGAGCCTCAAAAACTAATAATTTTAAAAATGCAAAAAAATAGATTTTGACTAACTTATACTATCGTACTATCGTATTTTTTTATACTTTCTCTGTTTATGAAATTCTAAAGATGTGCATAGACCCCCCCAAGAAAACTCTCCTAAAACGTAAAAAGCAATTAAATGTCAAATATTGCGCACTTTTTGAAAGTAAGCACACTAGTAATAGAGTTTTCTATTGTAATAAAAGAAGTGATGGATTACAAATAGAGTTATTCTTCTAAAAACCCTACTAAAAGAAAATTTATTTATAAAAATATGATTATTAGTTACTACCGTTGTCATCCTTAAATAATTTTCTAGATTATTTTTTCACGTGAATTAAGTAAGTAATAATTGTGTGATAGAGAGTTATGTATAAAGGATAACAATGTGTAAGAAATGTTATCAAATACAAGTCCTTTGACTAACATGAAAAAGATTATTTTGGAACAGATGAAATGGAAAGTTGAAAGTTTAATTTGAGACATAGGGAGTGTAATTAACTTTATACAGAGTAGTTACTTAAGTATAGAAATTGAACATAAGTCAGTAAGACTAATTTACTATTGCAGTTACTACACTTATGAAATTACATTTTTGTAAACGGTATTTCTTTTAGTCACATATATATAATTTCTTGTAAATACCATTCCTCATATCAACTTTCTTTTTTTCATTTGTCCTAAAATATGCCCTTTTTTGTTTAAATATTTAATTTATGGTTTTACTTTACTTCTTCTTTTTGGCACAAGTCTAAAATACATTAGCTTTACTTTTTCTATTCCATGTAAAAACTGATATCTGATCTAGTGAAACAAAAATAATACTTTGATTTAAATTTTCATTTGCACACGAAATTCGTTTACATTGTTTACATTATATATAAGTATTTGTTCACACAGACAACATGCAACTGTACTCTCGTAATGCCATGTGTACATGTAACCTGTGGAGACACAATAATAATTATGTGTAATGTATACTACGTATAAAAAAGGTATACAAATACGATCACAGGATACAATGCTAAAAATGCATATGACATTTGCAAGTAACAGAGAAAAAACTCCACTCTCTATTTATAAGATTGAGATTATAATTCAATTTACATCCTACTAACGTACCGTCCGGTCAGAGTTGGGAGCGAGATGGGGTGTCATCTTTTTTTTTTTAAATTTTGCGTAGGTGTAGAATAGTCGTACTCGTATTAAGGCGCTTGCCTTTTTCTACGATTTCAAATCAATGTAATTCAATTCAAATCACATCAAATTTCACACAGAATAAAACGAGATTACGCTTAAGCAGTTGAGCACATGCGAAATCTCAGAGCAAAGGGAACCCGGTTCATTTTCTCTCGGTTACGCGTTTACACTTTAGAAAAAGCAAAGGAACAGTTGACTCTGGCCATCATGTCAAGCCTTTTCCACAGTATTGAGTATTCATTGGGTAGTACGTAATTAATTAATTAATCAATTCAAATACATAGTTCAAATCAAATTATGTAACGGGAAAAAGTCTTACACTCCCGGTTAGGCATTTGGCAGGAAAGGGCGGTTGTCCCCATCAAATATTTTCGAACAAAAATATTTTAAAGATGAGAGAATTCCTCAAATAGAAACAAAACATAGACAAAATGCAAAAATAGGAGTATCATGTTTTGAATAAGAGTAACTTTAGTGTTTAGACAAGCAGGGACAGCTTTGAGGGCAGTTGGGCCAGGCAACTGCCTTGAGCCTCAACTACCAAGGGGCCCTCCAAAAAATTGTACTTCGGTATTAGTATTAGGTGTTATTCGCAGATCGCCAATACACCAAGCCGCAACTTCAAGCAGAAATCAGCTTTATAGTTCACTTTTGACTATTCTTCCTTCATCAAAGTTGTAGCTAATGAAGTCTTCTATCTAACACAACTTGAAAAACTGGATTTGAATCATCCAATAAAAATATATGAATAAAATGGTGGAAGGTCGCATTCTGAAATCTCAACAGAGGTTATTTGACTTCATCACCTGTTTTCACCTTGCTTCTCTCAGATTCTCACAATGATGTCTTCATATGATTTGTAGCCCTTGAAGTTGGCTTTCATATGAAACTTGAATCATGTTTTTTGGATGTTTCTAAGAAAAGATATGCTTGAACGATTGACAGAACGTCATCCTGACCGTTGTTTTCAAGCTCTATTCGTCTTCTTTTGATCCTGTAGCCAATTCTAGAGCTCTTTTGTCTTCAAAACTTTGTCTTTAACACCTCACTGATCTCCAATGCTCCTAATCAACTCTAAAATATTTCTCAACTCGTTCCTATTGCTTCTCAAACACCGGTGTCAGACTCAAATTCCCTGACTTTGACTCCAAAATACCAAAACTCGAACCAACGGCCGGTAAATATGACTTGAGCTTAAAATTGAGACTTATGACACCTTAAAGTTAGGAAAAAACTATCAAAAGCCGATCTCAACACGCATCAACGTCCAACACAGACCGCTAATCGGCTACTGTATATATGCCTCACTGCCTGCCGTCGACATGGATCCTTGGTTAGTGAATCAACTAAAACTCTTCAGCTCTTCTCTCTGAGTCTCGTTCTTGAAGTCTGTTAATACTTTTACAAGTACAAGTTTGCCTTGTGTTTTGAATAAGTTTGCATTTTAAAATTTATTCTTTTGAATGTTACAAACATTATATCGTGGACTTTGAATATGCTTTTTTTCATAAGGCGATTTTTATTCAATTTATCTGATTTTAAAATTGATTTGTACATAGTAAATATTTTTCGTCTGGGGCCTCCAAAATGCTCAAGCCGCCTCTGTAGACAAGTATACCTCTACCCAAGCCCTAAGCCCCAACAACTTTTAATTAAATGTTTAATTCATAATAAATTCGAAAAAAAATCAAAAAATAGTAGAAAAATAATTAAAAAAATTATAAAATATTAATAAATAAAAAAATTAAAGTTTTTTTTTTATTTTTTAGTTTTTTAAAAAAATAGTAAAATTCCATAAAAAAAATACTCCCTCCGTCCCTAAAAGGATTGCCAAGTTTGACTGGCACGTAGAATTGTGCAGAGGAGAGAAAAATAACATGGGCCACAAATTGATTGATTAAAAGGGAAAGTGACAAAGTTTTTGGGACAACCAAAAAAGGAAAGTTGGCAAAGTTATAAGGGACAGAGGGAGTAAAAAAAATATGGATGTCTTTCCCACCGCCTGTACAACCTTCCTGCACCACCACCTTCGGGCGGTGAAAAAAAATCCATTTTCCCTAAAAACTAGCATTTTTTCTGAAAATGCCAAACACTGGCATATTTTAATTTGCGAATGCCAACATTTTCATTATTTTTTGCCAAAAATATGACATTCGTAATGAACTTGACATTTTTTCCCTTAGAGACTGGAGGTGATGGTGTAGAGGTGGCAGGGGAGGCGGTGAATTTTATTTTATTTTTTTGAGTTTTTTATTTTTTATTAAAAAAATATATATTTTTATTTTTTGAAAAATAAATAAATTATTATTATCGAATAAGTCATAAATTAACTAGGTTAAGATTAAATAAGTCATATTTTAGAATTAACTAAGTTAGGGATATTAAGGGTACAAAATTAATGTTTACTCCTAATCAAGGAAGTTTTAAGTTTTACTCATATTTGTGCAATTATGTTTATGTTTACTCCTATATTGGGCAATTTCTATTTAAAGGTTCCTTTCATAGGTTGGTCCGGTCCATAAAATCGTCGCGCCACCGGCATATCTACCGTATCATATAATCTTACTTCTGCCTCAAACCGGTCCGGCTTTCGGACCTCAAACCGCATCTCCTGAACGCTGCCCCGCAAAAGAAGGGTGGCTAGGAGAATGTCTAATGAGTTGTGTGTGTGCATTTTGTGGTGTACTGTGTACATCTTTTGTTCTAGCAGTCATTGTCTGTGAACGTGACATGAAGTGTTTGGTTACAAACAATAACCACTCAAACATGCTCATTTGTCAAATGAATTTATTAAACTTATATTCTTATTTTCATAAACAACTACTACCTTCGTCCAAAAAAACACTTCCCGGTTTGACTTGACACGCTTATTAAGAAAGTGGAATAAAGTGGAAATGTATGGTTGTAGTTGTGTAAAAAAGGGTAAAATAAATGTGAGGCACACAAATTGCCCAAAAAAGAAAAGTGGGATGTATTTTTTGGAACGACCCAAAAAGGAAAGTGAGGAATATTTTTTGGAACGGAGGAAGTATTTGTTGGTGCGAACTCAGACAACAAAAAAATTAATTAATAAAAATTAAT